ATCGCCACTACACGAGCTCTGCTCCTTTTAAGCTTTGGAGATAGCAACATATTGAATTCATCAATTGACGAAAAGTATAAACTAACTCATCCAGTCCTTCCAGCTGTTTCCATCACAGTTCTCTTCGGGTACAAACATTTGTAAGCACATTATTATGGAATAGCAAGTGATCATAAGCACCTAAAATAATTCCCTGTTGAACAGATTTCTTGGGATTGAAGAATATTTTTAGGTCGTGCTCAGTAATTTACCTGTGGCACTTGATGAAGTTTCCGTCTATCGAAAGATTTGCAGTAGGTGTCAAGTAGGAATACGAACTGAATTCCAGATAACATGCTTTTCATCCATGAATTATGTATGTCGGTCAAAGACAGGAAGCTGGTCTTGGGGGGGGGGGGGGGAGTGGAGAGGTACATCATTAGGCCGAGTCGCAACGAGAGCCGTCAACAATGCGCTGGCTGCGCATCTTTGCCTGCGCTCAAGTGCGTAGCATTCACATTGGGACCCAACTGATGCAATGTGGCAGGGCCGCATTGTGTCCCGTCAGCTGGCTACGAAATACTCTGATAGCTTGCGCGCGACGCCGTGACCAGTACCGACGATATACTCGGGAGTTGTGAGGAGTGGCGGCGGTGCAGGCTGCCCTCTTACTCAACAGCGAGTTGGCCTCAATGCAAGGTGCAGCATCGCGATAGGTAAGACGCCAGCGTGGGCGTGACCCCCTCAGAATTCTCTACTCTGGTGAAAATTCCCTCATTTTCCAAATTCTACCCCTACTATCTACCTTACCAGATCCTCTCAATCTCTACTAGTTCTTTTCACTTCTTTCTCGATAAAGAGGAGGTCGAAACAGGAGCAACCAACATTTAAAAAAATTGCTCTCGCTTCTCGCAAAAAGTTTCCTTCACTTAATAGACCGCTTCCTCAGCAACAAAGTGCAATCCTTGAGTGATTCGCCCTCTAAGCTCGACGTATTCGTTCGCAAGTTCGTAAAAGACATGGTAAGCTGGGCACCTCCTAAGTTGAGAAATCCCCAGCGTGAGGGGTCGTATTTAGCTTGAGAAGGATCTTTTTGATGGCTTGTAATCCTGTTAACTGCTTGTCCACATCATTCGAAGACGAATTTCAGTGGAAGGGAGAACTACCCGTCGTCAAGAACTGCCCGTCGTCAAGAACAACTGGAAAAATTCTGGAAAATTTGGTAAAATGTGTAGAAAACAGCTAGATCGTAGGTGGGATGAGAAGGGGTCGTACCAGAGGAAGAAGCTTCGGGGTAAGTCGTATTTTCCGAAAAGTCCCTCCAGCGGTAGGAAGTGTCCTGGTGGTAGGGCAGACAAGGAATGACGTGACATGGACACGCCGCTACCCACGCTCCTGCCCCCTATCCTCGCCCCCCCCCCCTATCGCCCCAAACTAACTTTGTCTTTGCAAGTTTTTCGTCAACTTACTATTTTAGTGAACGCAATCGTCATTGCCGAAGCGATCTGATTCACGTAGAAGTTACCGTGAAGATTCCCTGAGTTAAGATCGCTTCCATACGCTGACAGGCTAAACAACTTGCTTGAATTGGGTCACTCATGAATAGCAAGAAGGAAATGCGATCACAAGTCAAAGACCGTTTCTGATATACTCGAAATCCCTGAGATCGGGTAGGCGTGGCCGCATGTTTCAACTTAACCTGAAGGTGTCTATGCTTCTGGTGAGATATTTTCATCTTGACACAATTGTTGTCGTGTCTCTGTCCAACACAGAACAAGATGACAGTTGTCCCAGACTGGAATATTCCACGAGTAACCAATTCCGTGCCATGTTCAAATGCCACGCCTACTCTGGCTCAGGGATATAAAGTTACACAGTGGTCGATTCAGATATGTCACCTTGTGGAGAACCACAACGAGCAGAGGATAGCTGTCCTTGTTGCGAGTTGGCGATTTTGTAGAAGATCCATGGCGGTGTAGTTTCTCTCGCAAGATGGTGTTTGGACACTTTCACATTTCTTCCCACTGAGATTGCTGATCCTTCTCTCGGCTTCTTTCGCCTCCTTCAAGCGACCCTTACTTGCGTACCTGGACGGGAACGAGATTCAGTTACTGTGCATTCCAATTCATGAATAGAGATTGAACCATTTCGGAGTTTCCGGTAGAACGAAGACAATTGCGAGAAGTGTAGGGGATGCGAGCATCGCTGTTGCTATCGCTGCTGATCGCCAATGATCGCATACCATACAGACGAGAGTGAAGACGACGCGAGCATAACCCTAGGTCAAATATAGGTTTTGGCTTATTATCACTTGCTGGTTTTATTTTTCTAAAGTTTTTTTTCATATCTCGGGTATGGACTGTCATGGAAAATCACGCTCAATTAGTGTCGGAGCCTGATTGTCCATGGCAGTCTATAACTGAGGCATTAGAAAGGCGTGTCCACGTCTAAATTGTGAGCATAGTTGCAGCAGAAGCGGCTCGTTCTGTAAGAGACGCAGGCAGGCCTCACTCTTGACGCAGAGTCGGGCCTATTATCGTGGTTTCACTACTAGTTCGCCACTCCTCTGTCCCCCCCCCCTACCTTCTTACGAGGTTTTGAGGGAGAGATGCATAAACGAGACAGTGGTGGGCCTGATCCCGCATATAATTAACCTGGGCTGTGCCTTTTAGTTAATATTTTTGCACTGAGCTAAAAGCAGCTTCCAAAAGTACGTACTCAGTTATTTTGTGACAAGGTCCTACGATACGATAATCTGTCACGAATTTGATCTTGACACCGGGAGACGGTAAAGAGGATCGTAATTCGCCGCTCCACCGCGCGCGGCGATGGGCGCGGCGTTTTCTTAACTCGTTTAACCTGTCGACTGGAGCACCGAACTTCATGTAGATCCCGTCATTGTAATCATGACTATTTTCCGGTTCTGAATTGCCTCTTGCCACCATCTACTACCTGTAACCATTGTCATTTGCGGGCGCGACGTCGCACGCGGCGCCCACAGCGCGGCGAATTACGATCCTCTTGTCACATACCCTTGACACCTTACGCACAGATTCGAGTGTGCCTGCCCTACTCGTTCTGCGAGATCTTTTGTAAAACTCGACACTTGGAGTGTGGTCTCCGCCTCCAATCAGTCTGTACACTTTTGACTTTTCGGTGCGTTTCTCGATCTGTACTAAGAATCTACTAATGGTAAGACCCCTTCATCGACACAACCGATTGACTTTAATATCGCCAATGACATACACTGTCGACTACGCTTACCCAGTTGAAGAACGAGCGCATGAAAACGCGTTGTTCTGAACGGATTAGCTCAACCATATAAGTGTAGAAAACCACGAGAATACATGCGACACTGGTTCCGCATACAAATCGTAGAACGGCTAACACTGGTAAAGATGAAGCAAAACCTGGAAAAGGCTCACTCTCTGTGTATCTCTCCACACTGTACTGTTCAGAGCTTATTCAGGGCTCCGCGAAGTTCGGTGACGGGGGGGGTGCGCATTTTACCGAGCCCCTATGATGAAACCTGTCAATTCTTGAAAGCTCACAAAGTAGCTCTCTAGATGGCTCGCCACGGCGATGGGAAGAAGCGACATGCAAAATGCGCACCCTGACCCCCCCCCTCAGTTCCCAAACTGCGCTCAGGGCTTGGTTATGCAACCAAAAACCACCAAAAGTTTTTCCAAACTCGCATATTAAAAAAATCAGAAATATGCCATGAGGTTCCTGCAATGTTTTCCTTTTATTGTTTTTCAGTACCTCTGCATCTTACAACGCTGCCTGTTTTTCATCTTACAACACTGCATGTTTTACAGGGAACCCTCGTGAATTTCGGAAAGAGACAGGGGAGGCGTAGTTAACGAATTTCATGTTGAGTACAAACTGGTCAGTCCTCTCCGTGGACCGTAGTTCTTCCCATGTGTGACGTGAATGGATCTTCAGTTGCAGTAGCGTGCCATTTTCCCTGATCAGAAGTGCACAAGATTGGGGCGGGAGGTAGTGGTGCCCACGCCACGCCTGGCCATAGCCAAACGTCCTACTTGTCTGAATCACCCACTTCTGGATTTCTCTACATGCTTAATGCAGGTTCCGCTGCGGAACCTTGGTATCGACGCAAGTGTCACAATCCTGAAGATGGCGCGGGCGGCGAATATTCACCAGGATACCTTCGCGCCCCGTTCTTGTGCTCTTTTAGGAAGAAAAAGTGGTCTGCTACTTGCTGCAGCTGTAAACCTATCCACTTCGCACACAGCAAGACTCTCTTCTGAAGTGAATGATTATTTGCCTTTAACCCAACTAGATACTGTTGTGTAAGCCAAACACATGCAGAGCCGCTCGAAACATCGCACCGCCGCAAGCTAGAACTATCGACATCGTATTTCAACGAACCACTGCCGATTCCGAAGGAGATGCCGATCAGAATTCCACAAAATGATACAGGACGTCTGCCGAACCGGTCTCCAAGAGGTCCGTAAATCATCGCTCCAGCAAGCACTCCCAGGAACTGTGCCGTTGAAACCTGAATTTCATTCTGTTCTGAAAATATCAAACCTATCAAACAAACAAGGAGATTAAGAATAGTACTGCACATGCTGCACTCTAGGCAGCGTTCAGACTTCGTGACGGCAGCGCCTCGGTCGCGCGTTCGGCGCGATCGATGCGCATGCTTTCGACTGCATCGATCGCGTCGAACGCGCGACCGAAGCGCTGCCGTCGCGAAGTCTGAACGCTGCCTACGAAAGCAGGATGAGCATGCGGTTAGCGTCATTCAACGCGCCGTGCTCAGAGTGTCCCGCTACACGCAAGTGAGAGAGGGGATCCGGAGCTCCGCGCTTCGCCGTTGGTCGAAGACCGGAGACGCAGCCACATTTGCCAATATTTGGAAGATCAGGCTAGGCACGTTATGCGTTACGAAACCGCTGGACCAGAGCGATTACGGACTGGATTCCATTCCATGTCAAACGAACACCTACGACACAGATGCGACTTTGCTTCGTCAGGTGAGGACCTATGAACGGCCGCAGATGCCAAGGTTACACCTCGCAGGCGAGCGCACGTTTGGACCAGGCCATATCGTTGTTGGGAATTTCCAACAGGGCGAGTCGTAGCTAGGAACAATTTATTTTGACAGTTGATTTTTTCGCTTCGCATACGTTGTAAGAAAAAGGGGGTCTTATTGCTCACTGTTGGGAGAGGGGGTCGTATTTACTTTCTGGCCTTTCTAGGAGTGGTGGAAGTGGTGGTTGACTTTTCGTGATTTTCCTGTTTCATGCATACTATGTATACCCCCCGCCCCTCCCCCACTCGAGCGGCTCGATTCGATGAGGAGGGACAGGTTCTTTGATTCTGTAGAAAGGTGCAGACTATGAGCTTTGCCGAGTGTATCTTTGGAACTACATCTCTTCAAAATAGCACGTCTACTACATAGCATATACGGGCTAGAAAAGGGCGGCCAAGCATTTTCTTCTCAGGGCAGCGGTTTTTTTGGCAGTATGTATTGTGATAAAAGGCGTCATTGATAACACAGTAACCACAGCTCGGGAAATTACTGTAACCTGGATGTTTTTGTAGAAGGCCCACAATTTATCACAAAATTGTCTCTGTTGAAAAGGAGCTCCTCATATTTATCTTTCGTCTACCCAGACTTTTGATGGAGCTTAAAAAGCTTCTTTTATTTTAGAAAATTGGCCAACCATTCCTACTCTAGTGACAGAGCGAATACTCCACTACCGTAAGCTTTGCAGATGTTGCGTGTCACTTTTTGGCATTGTATATACTAATTTCGAACTCTAACAAGGGAGGTCTTTCAGGTCGTGGCGCGCTTTTCGGAAATGATTTGTTGCATGTTGTAGAGGTCCGAATAAGGATCACAAAAATGGGTTTCATTTTTGCTATGCGTTTCTGGGTAGGGTCAAAAACTGAGTGCAAGTTTTTGCAGAGGGGACAAGCGATTTTGAACCTTTTTTCCGAGGCTTTTTCTATTCATAATGTTAAGTATGCATAGCAGATGAGACCTCCGTCGACACTGCATCGAAAACAATACAATTCAAGGTAAAAAAGTACTTTATTTGGCACATAGTGAGGCAGCATTGTAGTTTCTCAAGAGATTCTCGCAGCATCCCAACCCGCAGCTGGCGTGAGGGGGTGTTCAGAGCCATGTTGGCGCCAAATGACCTAGACGGCCATTTTAAAGGTCAGAATCGTCATCAGGGCCATTGATAACCTCTATATACAGACTTTCAGCAAAAATTTTCACCTCGAGATGAGCGCTTAACAGCCCCTGCGTGCGGGTTGGCAACAATTCAGTGGAAGAATGCTCTTGCAGCAAGTCGGCGCTAGGCTGCGCCTGTGGTCAAAAATGGGTGTCGTAAATCCAAAACCGAAAAACGTATAAAGTATCCGAAAAATGCAAAGAGTTAGTCGCCAATGGGATCCGATCCAAGAACCTTCTTCGCGAGAGCCCACCGCACTATCCACTCCGCCATTGACCGATACGAACTGCGGATTGCGAGAATTGTTCAAGTAACTTCGGTATTACTCCCCTCGGTCCACTTTCTTATTGGCTTTACTTTGCTATCTTTTCAATACATAGTGAAGGGACACCTCATGAATTATGCACTGTCAAAGTTACAGCTACAACAGAGCCCATTAACACGGTTAAAATCGCGATTTCTCGTCAAATTGTTTTCACTCAGTTTTTGACCTCCCCAGAAACGCATAGCAAAAATGAAACCCATTTTTGTAAACCTTGCATGGACCCCTACAACAAGCAACAAACCATTTCCAAAAAGCGCGCCACGACCTGAAAGACCTCCCTTGTAAGAGGTAGGCGTGGCTGCGTACTTCAACTAAACGTCGTGGTGGCTATGCTTTTGGAGAGATATTTTCATTTTGACCCAAATGTGGTCACGTCTCTGTCCAACAAAGAACAAGATGGCGGTTGTCTCAAATTGAAATATCCCACGAGTAACCAGTTCTGTGCCATGTTCGAATGCCACGCCTACCCCGTCTCAGGGATAAGGATTACGTACCAACGTTGCATCATAGGCTTTATCACAGTAGAGCTCGAACTCTTCCACCATTGAATGAAATGGGGGTTTGACGATTCCGATATCAGTACAGTTACTCAGCTGTTCGCACTGCTGAACTGCTGTCAGTTCGCACTCGTCCTTTGAAAATTGAAACCCAACATCATCACAAATTCGCTGAGGAGTGTAGCACATGAAAATCTAAAATATTTTGGTTTACGCACATTTAATTCCAAACAAAGGAAATCTGAGAAGTAAACGTCAGGTTTTCCATCAGTGGAAATAGTGGGACGCAGTTCGGGTGACCAGAACTTGTGAGAAAGAGGGCACATCGTGTGTTGGGGATCCTCTGCCAGGGAGGGGGACTCAAGAGAAGCGTTTTCGGTTGTTGACGTTTCTCGGCTTTTCATGTTTCGAATGTACTATATATTGCTCGCGCAGTGGCAATTTCCAAGGAAAAATGGGAGGCATTCTTGGAAAAGCAAGAAGCTCGAAGAAGTGCTTGAGGGTTGGGAAAACATAGGTAGATTGTTGGTAGGATGAGGAAGGGGGTGTTCCTGAAGGGAAATGTCTAGGAGGGAGGGGGATTCGTATGATCGCAGTTCTGAAAAAAGTTCTTTAGAATGATAGGAGCTGTGGGCGATGTCCCCTAGTGTGGGAAGCTGCCTAAAGTTCCCACTTCGATTGTTGATTTTGGGATGACTCGTATCAACACTTGGAATGCACTACTTGTCGCGTAGGGACGAGCAATCCCGACGGAAGCTTAAGGTAAGGGAAGGTAAATCAGTGTATTGCGCACGTCTTGCATCATCGGCGCACGTCTAAGGTCAGGTTATTGGCATTAGCAGACTATCATCGCGTCAACTGGCTTATCCACTCTCCTAGTCTTTATAGTGTAACAGACTTTTCTGAGAGTACGAGAAGCGTCAACATGGCTTGAAATAAACCTCTGCAGTTCACTGTATAAGCCACTCGCACTCGGAATGCCACAACGATTCTGAATGAGAATGGAATGCGTGAAGTATCCGAGAAGGATTGACAGACGCCAATAAGCACTGGTCTTTTTATGGTTTCGTGACGACCTGCATAGAGTCTGTTCCAAGGGCTTTACCGAAGTTGGGCTTGAGATGATTTCATAGTGAAAACATACCGTTTTTCTAGCTGTGAAACCCCTAGTTTCAATATATCATGAACTAACCTCAGATTGCAGACTTATTTGACAGCTATTGCGTTTGTATCAGATCACAAATATGGACACAGGCGCTGAAACTTCTCTATTATTCTAAATGT